GGGACTCGATCCCGGGACTCCAGGATCATGACCTGAGCCGAAGGCAGTCGCTTAACCAACTGAGCCACCCAGGCGCCCAGAATACAGTTGTTTTTAAACATTACTCTTATACCCTAGACCGGTTAAATTCCCTATTTGAGCTACTAGTAGAATGCTCTAAGAATTTCCATGTAAACAAGCATATCGTATGTAAATAGGAACAGTTTTATGGTTAATTTCTGATCTCCTGCCTTTTATTTCTTTCTCTTGCCTTCTCTTGGTTAAGAACTCTAGTAAAATGTTGAATAAAAGTGGTGGGAGGAGGCAGTTTTGCCTTGTTCCTGATTTTAGGGGAGGCATGAAATAGGATGTTAGGTACAGGTTCTTCACATGTGTCTCTTATCAGATTGAGGAAGTTTTCTACTTTTTCTAGATTTCTGGGAATTTTTATCATGAGTATTTGTTGAATTTTTTGAAATTATTTTCTCCTCTTCCTCCTTATTAGTATTTTTTAATATAGTGAATTATATTGATTGATTTTTGAAGGGTAGCTCATCTTGAATTTCTCATACAGATCCTACAGGTCACGATGTATTTCCCCTTTCTTGTATTGTTGGATTGATTTGTTAATGTTTATTAAGGAATTTTTGTGCCTATATTCATGAGGTATATTTGTCTACTATATTCATGAAGTGTATTTGTCTACTATATTCACAAAGTATATTTGTCTACAGTTTTCTTTTCATATAATGACTTTATCCAGTTTTTTTTTAATTAAAGTTATACTGGTCTCATAAAATTAGTTGGACAGTTTGTTCTTCTGTCACTGAAAAAGTGTGTGTAAAATTTGTATTTTTTATTCCTAGAATAATTGATAGAATTCACTAACAAAACCATCTGGATCTGAGATTTCCTTTTTAGGAAGGCTTTTGATAATGAATTTAACTTCTTTAACAAATATACATCTTTTTATATTTTTTTTCTTCTATTGATTTTGGTCAGTTATAATTTTCATGACATTTGTCTACATTTTGTCCCATTTGTTGGCATAGAATTGTTCATTTATAATGGTCTCTTATTATCTGTGGTGATAACTGCTATTTCATTTCTGATATTGATCATCTGTGTCCTCTCTCTTTTTTGTGATCAGCCTAGATAGGAGTTTACCAATTTTGTTGATCTTTGAAGCTTTAACAATACTGATTATCTCTACTTTCTGTCTCTATTTTATTTCTTTCATATCTGCTCTTACCTTGACTATTTTCTTTCTTGTACTTATTGTAATCATACTTGCTTTCTATTTTTAATTTCTTAAGATGGAACCTCATGCTGTAGGTTTTTAAAGCTATTTGTGTTCTCTAAGCACCCCTTCCCTTGTCTCCCACAGATTTTGATATGTTGTCTATTCATTATCATTTAATTCAAAATGTTTTCTAATTTTCCTTAATTTCTTTTTCCCCATGAGTTA